GACTGGAATGTAACATGGAAAAGATATAAAAAAATATAACAGAACAGTAAGGAAAAAAGCAATAGTACTAAATGGTTGGAAAAAAAGATCAATAGTGAATTACTGACATTAGAAAAGAAAAAAGCAAGAAATATAATGGAATATGAAAAATACAAAAAATATATAAGATGCGAAGAAAAACAAGAAGACCAAATATATGTGGAGAATGTAGGATGGCAAGACAAGAAATATCAAGGCTAAAAGAGAAAACTAAAGAAATAATGGAGCAATATATTGATAAAGAATGGACAATGGGAGAAGAAAAAATAAGAAAAGAAGAAATTCAACAAATAATATATAGGAAAGACCTAAAGATCAGCTGGGTATGGATAATTTAAGGAATAATATCAAAATAATAAATAGAAACTCTGAAAAGAATAAATATAAAGAAAGCAGAGGAGGCAATAAAAGAAATAAATGAAGTGATTGAGCAAGAAGCAAAAAGAATCTGGAAAAAAAAAAGTGAAGCAGTAAAAAAATGGGAAAAAGAAAATAAAATAGAAAAAACCAAAAAGAAAAAGCAGAAGGTCATATAAAAGAGAAAAAAAAAAAAATACAAATAGATAGACAAAAAAGCATGGATATAAATACAAAGGAAAAAGAGGAAAATATTAAGTATATAATGGAATGGTTGAACAGAGAAGAAAAAGGAAAAAATAGAATCAAACAAATAGAGCTAAGGTAGACTTGAATAGCAAGCATGGTAGCAGGCTACATCTGAATGGTCAATAGTACCTGTGGGTGAATTTTAGTTAATATAAAATAATATAGATTAAACTTTATATATATAATTATATATATATAAAACTATCTATATTAATAAACTAGAGTAAAGTCTCACTTTAGCCATTTAAAAAAAAAAAAAAAAAGGGACATTTGAATTATATTCTCACAAATAATTTAGGGATTCATCTTTACTGATAGTAGTGACAATTTTTGGTGATGACTGTAAAATCCAATATGTTGTTACCTTCCCTCCCTGATTTTTTTTATTTTTGTTGATTTCTTTATTTCTTTCCTGTTATTAATTCCTTTTGTTAGTCGAATTCTTCTCTTTTTTTCCTGAAAACCAAACATCCTATTATCTATATATGTAATATAAATTATTTTGCTGTTGACTCAATTGTCAAAATTCTCAAAAATAATTGTATCTAACTTAATTATTTTATATGTTTTAATAGTGACTCAATTAATTGCATCAAATAATTGTATCAAATTGTATCAAGAATCTATTAATTTCTATCACATGTATAATTTAAATTATACATCAAGTTTTTTTTAAATATAATATTATTTGAGCAATTCATATACTATTTATCTTTTATATAAATAAAGTTAATATTGCTTATTAACTATTACTAGTAATAATTAACTTAATCTACCTTTAATCTAGTTATAAATTTATATTTTGTAAATGGATTCACATATCAATAAGACTAATTCAAGAAAATAAAAAATTCTTTATTAGTTAACTGAAATTAGACCAGAAGTTTTTCTTTATGCAATACTTTCTTATATAATTTATTGCAATTCTATAATTATTGAAAAGGCCAAAAGTTCTATTTTATAACAGCCTAATTGAATTTTTGTGATATATTTTTGCAACCAGACTGGTTTAAACTCTAGATCTGCTTCTGATAACCTATAAAACATTATCACTATACTATAGATTCATAGGTTATTATTTTAATTCTTTTATTTTCTTGTGTTATTAAAAAGTATATAGATAATATAATAGAAGATAAATAAAAGGATGGAGAAAAAAAGATAATAAAAAAGTATTTATCAAATTAAATCACTATATTTATTGTATTGTTTTTAGTTAATAAAATTTTTTCAAATCATTTAAACTTATCAAATATATGTTTTTTTTTTATCTATTACCTCTTGTTAAACTAATGATCTCTGTTAAAATATCATAAAGTCAAGATTTTATACCATAATTGTTTTTAATCCTAACTTGTAACAATAGTATATAAGGTAGATCATATAGTTATAACAGATTATATGAATATAGTATTTTTGTCAGATATGACTAATATAAGTGATTTAATGGATTTAGCAGATATGACAAAACTAATATATTTATATTATTGTTTATATTATTTTTTTATAATTTAAAGATATATAAATAGAACAGCTATTTTTTCCAGCTGGTCAAGAAATTCTTTTATCTTTTTTCAATGTTTCAATAAAACCAATCAAATTCTATAACAAATTATCATGTCTTTTTATCTTATAGTAAATAAATCTTAATGAATTCTTTTATCTTACCAATTTTAGTATATAATAATTAAGATTATTTCCCTTTAACTTAAGTAATTCTCTGTTATAGTTGTTTGTTAATCTATTTAATTTTAAGGTTTATTGAATATGTTGACAATATATTTTTATTTTTTTATATATTTAAATATATGTATTTTATATTTTATATTTTTATTAATTAAATATTAATAAATAAAATTTTAATTTTAGTTAATTTTTTTTATTTCATATTATATATAAATATTATTTAAATTTAATTTAGAATATTGTTTAATCAAATTTAAAAGAATACTAATATATTTAATTACTATATTTGGCTTGACTTTTTTGAAGTATATTAAATTAATAATAGCTTTATTTATAATATTTAAATTTTCAAATAAATTATTAATTTCAATATATAATTATAAATAAAAATAAAAATTTTATTATAGAAAATTTTTTGTAAAAAAAATTGAATTTAAAAATAAAAATAAATTTTAAGTTTATTAAAAAATTATAAAGATACTTGATATTATATTTAATAAATGTTATTAAAATTATTTTATTTTTTTATTTATAATTTTAAAAACTTTTAAAACTTTGTATTTAATATAAAATATATGCTTTTTTTGTTAAATTTTACTAAATTTTAAGTTAAATTAATTGGTGAACAAATTTTACATTTATTATTATTTTACTTATATTTAACAAATTTATGTATTGAAATAATTTTAATGTTTTTTATTATTAAGACAAGAGAGATTTAGAAAAACGATAGGCTTTTTATTCCTATATAATGTAATTAATTAAAAAAATTTTTTTTAATTAAGTTTAATAATATTTTAATAATCTATTTTAAAATCTTAAGTAAATAAATTTTTAAATTTTAATTATATTAATAAAAAATTTTATGTCAGTTAGTTATAGAAATATCACAAAAATAAAATTGATGTACTGTTCAATTATTTTGACCCACACCTTATATGTAATATGAATTATTCCTATATATTTTAGTTATTTTGTTATTTTCGTTAATCATTTTTTCTGTCTATTTTTAATATAATAATACATTAGCAATAATAAGCCCATAAACTTACAGGTCATGTATAGTCTTTACAAAATTAATTTTTACATAAATTTTAATATTCTTTAAATGTTCACGCAACCATTTATTATTAAGAAATGACTTGATACCAATAAATTTATTATTATTTTGAATGGAGTACCAATTAATTTATAATGCATACCAAAAAATTATTCGTGTGCACAAAATACAGTAATGGCAGACTCAAAGTTTAACAATGTAGCGTTACGTGAATTTTGCGTAACGTGACTGATCATGCCGATCAGTGAAGACTATGAAGACGGTCACGTACACAATGGGAAGTTTTAAATAAACAGGGTATGAAATTAGAAACAAAGAATAATAGTAAGTAGAAAAAAGGTACTGCGGATGATACGTGCATGTAGGAATTCGATTTTATTTTATTTCAAGAAATCGATTTAGCCGTGACATAACCGAAATGATAGCTGAAGTTTCCAATCTTCAGTGCTGCATTTCACATTTAGCAAATATTGGATAGCTCAAGTTACATACGTCTCGATTTGTCTTTCTTATCTTTTACTCATCTTTATAGAAGGTTACGCGAAAATAAAAATTCATATTCGGATTTAACCCCTAAATAAAAGTATTTTATGCAACTAATAAAATGAATTTGAATTGCACAGAATGGTCTATTTTTGTCGCATTTATTCTGTTTTCAGATAAGAGTTTCGTAACATACTATTTATAAAATTCACATCGCTTTGCAGACGGAGATTTCTTTGTTTCTGAGAATTTATGAAATTTCATATATGAATTGCATTTGTCAATGACTGAGTGCTACCTGTGTGTAATCGGGGGGTATTGTTATGAATTTCTGCATTGACTGATGTAACACAAAAACACGAATTGTAATATGGCCTATAGATTGGTCAGTGCTTCTTAAAAATCCGCACCAGAAATCTGCCAACTGTAAATCAAGAACTCTGGGTCAGAAAACATCACGAATGCATGCTAACTGGTTTTCAAAAATGCCCTTTTTACGGCATCAAAAAGTAATTAAATGGTGACATCTTGTATATTCATAGCTATTTAGTATATACAAACGATCAATTATAAAACTCTGTCTATCGGACATTTAATGTAAACGGGTAACTTGCAAAAAGCTTGCACCATTATAAATAAAATAAAATAATTATTTCGTAATATTACATAATACAACAGAATGATGATGTTATATCATTTGATGTTTCCATGTTATTAAATGCAGTCCGTGCGCATGTGTTGATGTAATTCACGAAGCAAACTTAAAAATTTATGATACTGTAACACAATTATTTTCATACAATTGATACAGTAACCGTGAAACTAATACTGTACCTGATATGGTATTTCCGACATGATACATCAAAAAAACAATGTTCCCACAACAAAAAAACGGGTTTTAAGACACCTAACAATGAATCGTCATCCAAATTCTTTGTACTTAGCATACAAAGTTGGGTTTAATTTTAATTTTAGTAACACAATATTTAATAACCCTCGTGAACGCTAGTACTGTATATCGGTGATTAATACGAAAATTTAATCCGATTTGTCAACATTATAGGCGGAAAGTTGATGTATATAACTTAAAGCGTATTCGCCAAAAAAGAAAAAAGAAAAAATCAATATGCCCACTTCAAAAATTATCTACAACGAAAAAACAAACACGGCTTGGCAAAAAGCATTTTTATATTTGGATTACAGTACATATCCAGAGAGAAGTCAACGAGAAGAATACATTCGTCAGCAGTTTCTAAATGATTCCTCTTTGACTTATTCCGAAAAGAAAGGTCTACTCATTAGACTTCAACGACACTACGATACTATTAGAATTCAAAAATCGGACGAAAAAAGGCCATGTCGAGACTGTTACGGTTGGTGCCATGCCACACAGTACTGCGAATTGTGTATTAGAAATTATTTGGAAAACAATTTCAGAAATTGGTCTTCGGGGAATAAAGAAATTGATATATTAATTCAAGAATGTCAGCAAAATGCTGTTAGACCTAACTACATTATCGAATGGATTGAATACAACAAATTTCAGAACGTGACGTATAAGGCGAAAGGTGGATGCTCTACGATATACACGGCAATATGGAAAAGCGGTCGTTATTATAAATGGAATGATGGAACACATTCGTTGGAAAGATATGGTCGGCAAAAAGTGATACTAAAAAGATTGCAAAATTCGGCGAATAATCACGGAAACTGGTTTCAAGAGGTTTAAGATATTCATTTAACCGATTTGTCAATATTACTTTATTTCATAATCTTACCATTCTGAAAATCCTCTAGGTTAAATCGCAATTTACTCTCGATAATACATCAAAATATTTGGCTACGTGCTATGGATTGACCAGAGATCCAAAAAGTAAAGATTATATGCTTGTCTTATACCCCTATGACAATGATTTAAGGCATTATTTGATGAAAAATTTTCAGTCTATGAGCCTTGTTCAAAAGTACATGATCATCAAAAGATTGGCCAAGAGTTTGAGTAAAATTCACGAGAAAAATGCAGTGCACCGAGATTTGCATTCGGGTAATGTCTTACATTCTAAAATAAATAATAACTGGTACATCAGTGACATGGGCTTCTGCGGGCCGGTTAACAAACCATCGAATAGTATCTATGGAAATCTTCCGTACATTGCACCTGAAGTTTTCTTAGGAAAACCGTACGACAAAAAGTCCGACATATATAGTTTGGGAATTTTAATATGGGAAATCACTACTGGTAAAATTCCGTTTAATAATATGGAACGCGACGATGATTTTGCTTGGTCAATCGTTTGCGGTATGCGCCCAAATATTTATGAAAATATTCCAACAGAATGTGTTGAATTAATGGAAAAATGTTGGGACGATGACCCTCAAAATAGACCGGAAGCATCAACAATATGGCGGACATTTCGTAGTTTGTACAAGAACTTAAGTAAAGAAGAGTTCCAGCAAAAAGGTGTCGAGCGCAAACCTTTAAGAAAAAGAACAGTGGAATTCATAAAGAACAGAATATTAAATAAACCGTCTTTAACTGAAATTAACATCGCGAGTCAATCAAATACTGAAAACGATCAAACCAGTAAACTTTATAGGATTTCCTACACGCCTAAACCAAGAAATTCAAGTTTAGGTAAGTTGATTTTTAATAAAATATTGCATTTTAAGAATTTTTGGCTTAACAATTCTCATTAAATTTCTACCTTACAGAAGGGCGAGGTAATAAATTGTCTCTTGTTTTTACGATAATGCCTGATAATTTTATGGCAATATACTGTATTTATTTCTCACGTTCACCATTTCGACACATTAGACTCACAACAACACAAATTAGGTATTTATGAAGCTCATACTAAACTTTTAATGTTTACAATATCCCTTTGAGAATAACTTATTTTTGACATTAAATTAGTGATCGAGAGTGGTCATGTATTAACCTATGGGAATATCGGAGGTAATATTATATTCAATCAAGTCAATGTCTTATTGACGCGATGGGACCCATTCATATTTTATCTTGCATATAGATACCAGATGTGGTAGATTGAAGCTCGATGAACCGACATTTTAAAAAAGCTTGCAAAGGTATTTTTTTTTCTTATCTGAGCAACGTTTTTTCTTTCTGCATTTATTCATATTTTACCCGGCACTTTATCAGAATAATGGGCCGAATATACAACACTGTGCACGGTATAACAGAATCGCCACCTTGAAAAAAATAGAAACCGTCAACATCCCGGATCGAACTTGAAGAAAGATTCAAACTTGGAGACTTGAATTGATTCTAACGATTTTTTTCGATGTAAATAATACTCAAGAACAATTATATTACCATAACTACCGCATTTTGCAGTTTGCTAACTGCAACAAAATTCTGAATAAACAGTTGTTTTTTTCATCACCTATTTTTAAACTTAATGTAATTGAACACGCAAAACCATACGATTTACCATCCCCTGGTCAAAAAATATTTTTTTGTTAAAATTTATAACAAAAATTAGTTAATATTTCTAAAAAGTATTGTTTTGTAAATTTTTTTAATAATCTAGAAAAAATTAAATTTATTCTTAAAATAATACTGTATTAAAGAAATAAATTGTTAAATTTTATTTGCCAAAATAATTTTATTAATACCTTATTTAAAAATTTGATGAGATAGTTATAAACTTTTATCATAACTTTAATTTTTTCATATCAATCTTAAATTTAATATGCTTTGCATGAAATTAATAATCAATATATTTTTTTAAAAAAAAAAAAAAGTTTGCAGTTTGTTAAAATTTTTGATTGATTTTTTGTTCTTATACTGTATATTGTCTAAATTAGAGTTCCTTATAATATAAGTTTATATCAGTCAGGTACCATTTAAGTACTTACAGTAAATTTATTATAAATTTATTTAATTTAGTTATAATCAATATATTAAATTTATTAGGATTAATACCAGTTAAACATCACTTTAGTCAGTTTCATTACTTTTCAAAAATCCAATTTATAAACATTTTATTAAATTAAAATTTAAATATTGGTTTGATCAATAAAAAATTATAGTTATTATTTTTTTTGTATTAGATATAAAATTATTGATTCAGATAAATTATTGTTTACAGTAGTATATATAAAAACAATTATTTATACTATTTTTATCTTTATTTTAACCAAAAAAATCTTGATACTTTATTTACTAACTCCTCCAAATACTAATATAAGAAACATTTAACTTAAATTCAAAAATATTTTAGTTATATATTGAATTTATATTTAAAACTTTTAAAATTTCTTAAAAATTCTATACAATTATTATATTTTTTAAATTAAAAAGAAAATATAATAATTATCTAAAAAATTTTTTTAGCTATTAAAACAATAACAATTTGAAACTTATTGCAAAAAAAAAATTATTGTTCAAAAAATTATTAATAACAATCTTAACTATACTTAATATATTTTTTTTAAAAAAAATACTAGTCAAATCTTTTTTAGTATATTTTATTTAATATTAATATATATATATATTATAGAATATTGACCTATAGGTCTATAGCTTAGTAATTAGAGTGCCTTAGGTCAATATCACAAGCTACAGATTCAATTTCACTAGAGAACTAATGTGATTCTCCAAAAAACTATATGGGAATCTATATACTATTAGCTTAATTATATAATAACTGATGCTTCTAATTATAAAAAAACTGGTCTATAAAAAGATTGTAATATAATTGAATATTCAAAATTAATTAGGATTATCTTTAACACGATCATGTTACTAAAAAAAAATAATAAGAAAAGTAAATCCCAAACTGATAGAATGCCTCTGAAGGATTTTTAACAGTTGTATTAAAGGATACTAATCAAGCATTTGGCTGTGTTAGATTTTACAAACTTTATTATCAAGAGGCTTTGGTGGAAGGAAAAAACTGCAAACCACTCTAAAGAACTGAAAACCAGGATTCAGAATATTGTAAT